AGGGGGTGATGAGTGATGAGACGGTTCGTAAATATTTACAGCGTTTTTGACACATTAAAGTAGTGAGAATAGCTTAGTTGGCAGACGCACAGAGAGGTGTACGCGCGCGCATACACACACAAACACATACACACAGACAGACACACACACACACACACACACACGCATGCACGTACACATACCAACAGATAGACACATACACATACACACAAAACTTTCCACTCTCACACTCATGCAAACTCTCTCTCTCTCTCTCTCTCTCTCTCTCTCTCTCTCTCTCAAAACTAACCTCAATATGATCATCACATGATCGATCTACACACCACTATCTATATTTCATGACAAGCTATACCTCTGCTTTAATATTTTTAACAGCGTGACGCATAACGCCAGCGATCCGTGACCACAAGGTCTAACTATCTACACACTACACAGACATAATAATATAGACGGTTGAGAATATGACCCTTAAAAAATATGAAAAATTGTCTGCTGGGGCACAGATTCTGTTATTTTTACGTTTTAGTTGTTTCAGTTAGAGTTTTATGGCACTTGCAACACAATAAGGTCATATAAGTACCGAAGATTAGATTAGTTTTAGTAGAGGTTTTACGGCACTTGCAACACAATAAGGTCATATAATTGCCGAAGATCAGAGGTGTTACAGGAGAGTAACAAACACAAAAAAGAAAGAGGAGAGATAAGGAGCAAACCACACCAGAGCACCCGCCAACCACCCACTTGTCTACTGGGGCACAGATTCTGTTATTTATACGGGGTTTTTTTTTTTTCAAGGTTGAGTTTGAAAAACAAGTACATCGACACAGTATCGTTCATGTAGTGTAGGGAAGAAGCAAGACAGATCGACAAAAACAACAGAAGGAAAGAAAAGTAGAAGAGCTACGAGTGGAGCCCTCTAGCTTCCCTATGCGGTCTCAGATTTGTTGTTGTTGTTGTTGTTGTTGTTGTTGTTAATGATGTTGTTGTTGTTGTTGTTGTTGTTGTTGTTGTTGTTGTTGTTGTTGTTGTTGTTGTAGTTTTTCTTTTTGATGTTGCTGTTGATGTAGTTTTTCTTTTTGATGTTGTTGTGCTTGTTTTTGCTTTTTTGTTTTGTTTTTGGTGTGAGAACTAAAAAGCACACTAGTGCAATAACGGTTATTCAATGCGGGTAAAAAGTAAATCAGACAGACAGAAACAACGGAAGGAAAAAAAGAAGTATGATCTCA